ATTTTCACAGAATGTGACGTTTATTAATATTGGACGAGACAATAAATAATGTGGTTCAATGTTATCTTATCTTACGGAAATGAATTTTCATAAACCTGCAAAAAAAGGAAAGGAAATGAATTGTATATTATATATATTATAGATGAAATGCGTATGCCAGAGTTTATTCAGTCTATTCAATGCATAGAAGTGCTATATTTATTGCCACAACATGCTAAATTGTAACCTGTTTTCTTTTATTTCTACAAACACATATTTGTCTTATAACATTTCTGAATTTCTGTGGGAGTAAGACACTGAAAAATTAAACGATTTAAACGACATAGAAGCAACTATAACTGTTAAAGATGATTTTAAATTTTGCCATTTCGTGCGTTCTTTAGTGATTCCCGCTTTTTTCTATTTAATAGATAATGATTATAGTAATCAAATTTGATTTGTTTGTATCAGGGTGAGACCTCCTGTTAAACCTGTATACGCATTATTAAAACCGTTTAAAAATTGCAGCTGAATTTGACCTTATACATCTATTTACTGGCATATCAACATTCTAAATTCTTGTCCAGTCTGGCATTTCTTTAAGTGCTTTGATTAACTTAATTTGGTTTGGTTTTACGGCGAACCAACACAATTTAAGTCAAGAAACAAGAAAGATAATTTTGGTTTTCCTCGGGTGTTACAAAGCAACGCCAGGGGACGAAACCACCTCACCTGCTGAAGCTACGAGATGCCTCAACTCCAGTAATTCAACCAATTCAGTCGCCTCTTATGCTTTTGCAGGGATAAAATGAGGCTAATTCTGATGCCAGAACCTTTAACGGAAATTCCTCAGTCACAATGAGAGCTTTGATTAACAATAGTGATGATAATATAAATACAATCGATTTGAAACATGTTCTTTCTTACGATCTAAAATAAACTTTAATAAAAGATCAGTTGACAATCTACATAACAAATTTATTGTCTTAAAGTGCAATAATTCATTTTCTCGAGTGAAAGTATTTTTGCTGTCACCCTAGACATATAAATTTGAAATTCTATAAAGATGTACTTGTAAATATACCGATTTAGTTTGATAAGAAATAATGTCTTTAAAAGTACACAAAGAAAAAACCTTGAAAATACCTTGGTTTGTAAAGCAATAAGAGTTTATCAGTATATTTTAACAGTTACGGATACTTTTCCTATATCAAACACAAGTTAATCATGAGAAAACGATTTTTGAAAGGCCATTAATCATGTGCTTTATAATGCCACGCATTTTCTGTTTAAAAATACAGAAAGTTCATACATAATAACAGTAAGAAAACAAAAAAAACAGTGCTTCAAAACACATTTTATACGCCCCAATGCTTGTTCTTCTGTATTTTATATGCTTTTTCTTGTTGACATTATGGTAAATGTAATGGAAATGTTACTGATACAAATCAGTATCAGTGGCTTTGCTAACCCCTTTTTGTATCAAGATACAAACATGTTTGTTTGAAGAAAATTCGACCTATTCACCCCATGACTGATCTTAACGTAGTTCACGACATTATTGTTGCTCTACACCGTATATAACACAAAAGAAATGAAATGTTTCAACGGCATTATTTCTAATTTAACATTTAATGATTATAAATCTACATGACTTTTTGTATTTTTTAATTATATATATATCATCGGACGGGTTCGGCAAAACATTGCAAACGTTTTGCCAGGAGGGCGTGGACGGTACTTTGAACTTGACAGTTCCGTCCATGAACAGGCACAATCAAACCGACCTTGCTTATTTTCAATCTTTATTTAGGGCTTCTTATTTTCTCTATGTTATTACTGTGGTCTTCCTTATAAAGTCAGTTTTCTATGTTTCCATTGTTTTGTTGAATTTTTAAGGTATTCCGTTTAGTTTGTAAAATGAGATATTTGCTTTTAACGTCGTTTGTAACGTTTGTTAAATGCCCCTTTGAGTATAGTGGACAATATCAATGATTTCCCCCAGTTTACACGATTTTTTTTTCAATCAAACGATACTATAAATTGATTTACAAATAACTTAAAACTGAAATTAAAGCCGTTGTATATTTTTATATTCAATTATACGATATATATCCTTACAAGGATAAATTTATATTGTTGTTTTCTGTGTTTTATTATTATAATTTCGTGTTTATGATGATACCCAAACATTTCTATTATGTCTTTGCACATTTGATTTGCTCATGTTTTTGTACATGATACACTATTCACATTATTTTAAATGCTGAATGTTTTAGCAGGTACAGATCTTCCTTTAAATTGTTTATCTTGGCAAATATAGAATTCGTGTCTACAAGAGATCGTAATCTTAAAAATGAAGACGTTTAACACTTGATATACGACAACGTATATTCAAAATTTTGTAATGGCATGAAAAAGTTTTTCAAAACAGATATTTTACCAATATCTAAAAATGCATAGTCTTCAAAAAAATGTTTTATTTATCTTCCATTGGCAATAATTCATTCTATATCATTATCCTTATTATTATGATTTGCTTATATAATTCATTACATATAATGAAGAGTAGAGATGATAACGGACACCGTTGTCTCACACCTCTAAGTATCGGAAAAGTTTCACAAAAGTTTCCATTATTTGTCACTACACTATTACATAGTAAAACACGTGTAATATTACCCAATTAATAAAAGATTCACCAAAATTAAAATGCTGTTTACAAACATTGAATCATAAATTCACGATCAATACTATTCAAAAGTAATAAACCTGTTTCATTTTAATTTGTAAGTATTCGATACCGGATATTTTCCCCAATGAACCTTTGTTTTAATAACTAGTTTGAGCATTACTTATAATAGAGTTTATAGCTTACTTTGACCTACTTGCAAAAGCTGTTGTTGCAATTTTATCATCAATATTTAAAGGCTTACAGGACGCCAATTTGATAACAATAAATATCTCTGCCTTCTACAGGTATTAATAAAACAAGTCTTTGTTTTTGTAGGATTGTCTTTTTATATATGAATGATTTTTAGATTTTACACAATGAGTTTTGACTGTATCACAAAAGATTTTATAAAAAATTCGCATTTACTTTTTTTCAACCAATAATCTTTAAATCGTTAATTTGTTCTATTTATTGTTATTGTATTTTTATGTCTAAATGATATTTAGAATTATTGTTTATAAATGTGGTAGTTTTATGTTCCAAATTTTCTGTTTCCTTTTAAAGTTTTCCTTCATTTTCCATGACTGACGTTTCCTTTTCGCAGCATACTTTATGGTATGGTTTCTAATTATCCCTTTTACAATTTCCCACAATATATTAAGATCAGTCTTCTGATTTTTTTAAATGATTTTATTAAAACTATCAATGATTTTTTTTTAGTTATCATCGTTTAAAAAAGCAGGCCCCCTTCAAATTGCGAAAACAATCTTTTTTATCTCTATCAACGAGTGATCTGTTTTATATCCTGGCTTTATTCTGCAATAATAATACCTAAATAAGTGTAACTGACACCATAAATATTCTTGTCTGCTATAGATTATCATGCCTGTATGTATGTATGTTAGCATGTATGTATGAAGTCCATGCTTAATAAGGATCCATCCGCCCGTTTATGAACTAAACGCAGTTTGTGCTTTGAAGTACGGACTCCAGACATGTCATCAGTCATGCCCCCAAAAAGTTAATTTTGAAGCAAAAAGTGGTGAAAATATACCACCAAGTAATTTTCACGAAGTATATTGATAATTAATTTTTAGCCGAAAGAAGGTCACTGTACAGACGTCAAGGAGCACCAAATATTCAGTGACATGAACAAGTATAAAAAGACAGTAGCCCTGATAAAAGTAGACACAAATGACGAATAGTTAGCCAGTCTGAACTAGTGTATAACTTTGATCTTTAAAAAAGAATCTGATAATAAAATAGGGACAACATAATAAAGTTCTCTTACGTTAAGTATATGATTAAGGCTTTACGCACCAGCAAAGAGTTTTAATTATGCTAATAACCGGTAAACAGAACAGACATATGTGCTACTTTTCTAAGACACTTTTACTAAATTGTTTGTTTTTTGTTATAAAGTATACGTCAGCAGATCGTATGGTGCTAGACGTGACATTCAAGCATAATATTCAAATGCCATTTCCAAGAATAACTCCAAGTGAAATTGACGGCAATATTAAGACAATCTTAACAAGCATCTTAACTTCACAGTCAGATTTTTGCTTAGATATGTATGTGTTAAACAACAAATATGCGTACAAGTTATAAAATATATTGGGCTTGTTATAACGTCACATTTTCGGTGGTAAAATGTTTTTAACTGCCATTTTCCATTCACAAGAACTAGACAAACAAGAATCTTCTTTCATGGGATACTATTAACCAATAGATTTAAATCCGAAATCCTTTGCTTGTAATTAGATAATAATACTTATATAATCTTATAAAAACGTCCGATGCTGAGAATAGTACCCGAGACGGTGCCACTCTGTATCGCTTTCATGTATATGCATGCCCTCACTTGTTGAGTACATATCTATACATACTCTGGTGCTATTCAATTGAAAATAAAAAGATTGGACGACGGAGCTGTTATCAATAAAATAAACGTTATATTTGAAATTGAAACCCATGATAAACTTTTGTTAATTTTGTTTAAATAAGAATATTTTTGAAGCAATGTTCTAACTGCATGGATTATGTCATTCATCCAATTTATAAAGGATTCCTCGAAAGAACCATCAAGTTCTTTGCACAGCCAACGGATTTTGGGATCATATGCATTACAAAAGAAGATGGTTTATGTTCAAGTTTATTTTTATTCTTTTCAGTATCAGACTGATTCAGGACAAAAAATAAATATCGGAACGAATGTAGGATCACAGACAGATTCAGTTATGTGAAGAATGTCATATACTGATTTCAGATCGTGTAAACTCATTTTGTCAAAACATGTAAAATACAACAAAAAAAACTAGCCTATAATCATATACTAATAAATTATATCCCTTGCATACACGTTTTTTATTTGTTAATTTAACATGATCTTTTAGAAAGTAGAAATGATCAATACAAGACGAATAATAGTATCATAATCTGCTATGAAACTAAAGATTAACGTTCTAAATCTTAGCTTCTGTGCAATATAAGTTTATATGTGTATTAAGTTATTATGATACTCTATGAGGTTCATTCAGATTTTAAAAAAAAACACCTCGTACCATTGCCCTGTTTCCGAAATCCAAATTCAGCAGTCATCACTACTCTGCCATTTAATTGACGATGACAACGACGATGTTGATGATGATAATGAAAACATTCAATAAAATACAAGTAAAGCAAAATCTACTTTCAGGGCATCTTGCGTAAAATTGAGTTTTATAAGACATGTATTTGACAAATCAGTTTGCACGATCAGTATTTCTAAAAGTGTAAGAAAACAATGTTATCTATGTACACTCTATGTACACTATATATACACACAATTCAATATAAAAATACATGTGCCCTCGGACACAAAATTCATTTGTTAACAACTTTTGTATAAAAATGCCCTTACTTTCTTTACCTCGTATTTGAAACGGAAACGGGTCCAGAACAGAGGCCGTGACCGCTCGCTTTTTGTTCAAAGAGATGCATTAACATTTGTCAGTTCCTTTAACAAACTTGTGCCTCAACTGAACCTTAATTTTCTTAAGTATATTCCAAAGGTATGAAATCGTTATCAAGAAAGATATCTGGTAGCTATAAAAGCCGGTGTTATCAAATGCTTACAAATATAAATCTGTTTCTCCGAAATAATTCTCATTTTTCAAAAGTCATAAAACACAATACGGTGATATTTATACAATACTTCATGAACATCTTAATGGTGGCATATCTTAAATATCCTGTTAAAATATGATTTATAAAACATGTATAATATTATTTACAAAAGCCATACTGAATGAAAAAATGTAATATACAAAAATAATTTCGGCATAAATATAACATATTGTATAAAAAAGTTTAAGTAGGTAGCACATTTAACAGATGTTTGGCAAAATCATAGGGGATAAGGTCTATCGTAAAGTCAGTGACCTATAGATACTGTACAATTTCACAACCGGATGTATTTTGGTTCCACAGAATTATGTACAACTTGCTATCTCGCCTTTCATAACCTTATAAGGTACAAACGTGTATCTTATTCAGTTGTCTCCCTTTCAGTGACACCCAAACTCTTACGGAATGAATCTAGTTACTCGTCAAAGGGAACGATATTTGCGTAATCATGGCACAGCGATGGATGCTGGAGAAACCTGGTCGCATTCCTGTCGGGTGCGCATTGAGTGCCATTGCGCAACCGCAACTCGGTGTGATTGGAGCATGCGCGTCCAGTGACTTGATTCATGCGGACCAGTAGCGTATTTACCAAGCACGATGCGACCAACAAAATCATCCTTGCTTTTTGAGTTGTAATCCCAAATGGTTATTACAAGACTGGTTGTGTCAAGCTGCTGTGGAGTAATATTAAAGCTAATTGACTCATTAAATACCGGATCTAATGTGTTCTTCTTGAAGGTCGTCTTTTTCGTTTTCACTGGCTTCTCAAAATGAACCAATGTTATTTTGACAAACGGATCTGAAAAAAATAAAGCATTTCAATCTCAGATATTTTCATTTTTCATTTTCCCTAACGCTTATTAAGGTTACAGGTTATTTCAGATTACCCTGTTTGACTCCACAAGAAGACAGAGTCACAGAAATACTGTCTGATTTCATATTTAATAGATCAATAAAATCTCTATTTGTCTCTCCTTTTGAAAAATAGATATCAATGTAATTTCCAAATTAATTAAAGATACCAATTAACAACCTTCAGACAAGTTTCTTTGTAAACTCCCTACGGTATTTCATGTAATATAAGTCGTTAGAACATGACAAGAAAATCAATTGAAGCTCTATGTCCTGTTATCTTGAAAACATAAATCATTGGATAACGCCTACACATTGCTTCAAAAGGAAACCACCGTTTGCTATCTTTGTTCTACTTGTATATCACATTAAATTCTATTAAACACAAAATGATGTTGAAATTTCATAAATGTCTCGACGGGGTTCAGCAAAGGTGTGACATTACAATAAATATTTACGCTTAATTAATCCAAAATCAATCAATCAAAAAGACGGTTTGTTTTTGGTATCTTTTGAGAATCGGGAAAAAATTGATGAAAAATGAATCATTTTCAAGACTGCGTTAAATAACTAATAGGTGTAAGCACATGTTTGGCATCTTTCTAAAATCAGATATAATAGAGAGAAAAAATCCGCTTGAAAATAAGATAATTTTGTTATATGCGCTCGATGTATATTCTTGATTATACGTATGTACTTTATTTTAGAAATTTAAATTCATTTACTATATATAGTTACAATGTATTTACTATTTGTACAATGTCTCGATCAAATGACAATTGTAAGAGCCTCGATCTTTCTCTAAAAAAGCAGGAAATAAATTTGATATAGATTGTAATGTTTATAAACTAAGTATTACCTGATCCACCGATTATATCTGTTTGAAGAAGCTGCTTTGCCTTGATGACGTCAATGTTGAGACGCCCCGCACTTGGAAGGTAGTTCAATGACAATAGAAGCTCACCAAGGTCATGGCGATCCTGAAAAGGGTAAAGAGATAAATGAATTATTGATTTCTTTTAAATATTTAAAATAAAAAAGACTGAGAAGAAAGAAGTCGATTTTTTAAAAACAGAATAAGATTTTGAATCATTAATTATTGAAAGAATTGACGGTGTTTTTATTGAAACAGTTAAAGTTTTAAAACAAGTCAGAGTGAAAATGCCAGAATGAAAAATGCCAATCTTTCTTTCTAAGAAAATGTCCTCAGGGCAATCAATATTCATGCGAACCCTATGTTTTGGTTCTCATACGTGCACAAAACTTTGACAACATGTTATATTTCAATCAGAATTGTCCTGTTCGTTTTACTCGACAAATCGACTTCCTAGCACATATTTTTAAGATATTCAGACAAACTGTGTTTCAGATTCAATTAAACTTTAAAAGAATATCATCTCAAAAAGGTTATTTGGAATTCTAAAAGGATTTGTCTGTATGAAACATAGTAGAAACATAAATATCTGCATGATTTTTTATATTCAAATACAAAAAGAAAAAGAACACATGATCCGAATAAACGATTTGTATTACAGTCAAAATCATTTGTCACGAAAGAAGTAAATTAGATTTCCTAAATACACCAGATGCTTTATCAACACCAAGGAAAGTAATACGTATAGATTTTTGTATGAATATGTTACTAATATAGTCCCTGATTGCAAAATAATGAAACGTTATGAATAAGGTTCAAATCCGCACGCTTGTGTTCCTAACTTGATTAGTGAACAACATTCCAAATCCATAGAACTTCCATTTACGCCGGAATATGTTTCACATTTATTATCTGAATCGGCGTATGTTTTGTTTCTATGGTTTACCAAGCCGATGTTAATTTTTTTTTAAATGTGTTTGTCCTCAGGTGCGTTACTAAACCAACTATACTCAATGCCTAACCTAACAAATGATATAATAGTTTGTGCTTCGTTAAGATATTTAAGTTTTTATTGGTCATAACCTTTTAGTATCAATATATGATATAAAAACATCATTGGTGAACCTTTTGCTGATGTCAAGAACTTGCAAAGAGAAGTCTGGAAGTTAAACTCATTTGCATATTAATGAATCATTATATCTGACACTGCATACGGCGGCAGAAATGGGTAACTACATTCGTTTTTTATTGGCAAGACAATAGTATAGACACAGTCGGAAATATAAATTTCAAGGTTGACATTTAAAATTTACATAGACTTCTTGACTTCAGACATGGTTCATGTACTCTGTACTCAATGTAAACTTTGATCTCATTAACACGACAAATGAAATTCAATGACCTCATTTTCTTACTCCAGTTTAGCATAATGTAATCACTTTTTGCCCTTCTCAACTATACTTGTATAATGAATATCTATATGTAACCAGTTATTTTCCAAAAGCGGTTTACCAAGTGCATCAAGACCTTTATAAATTTATTTTGCCATCATACTACTTATCGAGCAACAAAAACATGGCGTGACAACATAGTATCTGTTCGCACTGAACTCGATCACACTAAATTTGTCACGGAAGACTTATACCAAAGTGATATTTTGAAACAAATTGTTATATATTTGTATTTGTTTTAAATAATTGATGAAATATGTAAATATAATCTTCTTGAACTGCTGTGTCAAGTCATATTAATGAAAAGAAAGGAAATATTTTATCTTTGACAGAGTAATTTGCTCTGTTTTATATCGAGGAAGATATATTACAGATCTGGATAAATCGTGCTTGATGCTAGATTTTCTACGGAGAAAAACAAGTTCAATGTCATTCTTTTTTTTCTTTCTTTTTTATTGATGTTTTTTGTTTGTTTGTTTTTTTTAATGATAATTCAACTAGGTTTCGATTTTTGACGCCATTGTTAGAAATTCACTTAACACTTAAATGTTTAGTAAAATTAAGTGTGCCTAGGTGTAGATTTAGGAAAGAATTTGTGCAATGGGTGGTGCAAAATGTGTTTTATTATTCCAGTGTTAGGTAGGTAGAATACGATTACAAAATATCAAATTGAGTTTTCAGGCTTTATACTGATGTTTTAAAAGCAGTTCCAATAGCAGTCGGATAGAGACACATCTAATTATGTATTCTAAAAATTATTTTACAGAATGACGCGTGCTTTCCTTGATGGAAATATATATATATATATAACAATTTAAAAAATGCATAGTAACTTTACACATGCATCATACAATACCATTTATTTCATGCTTTCCAGTGTTTTATTGTAATATATCAGATGATTATATTCTGATAAACCACTAGTGAAATTTATAAAATATAATTTTCACTGTAGCCGGACTATATCTGAATGCGGATGAAAAGAAAATCATAACTACATGGAATAACAGGCAGAAATAAATGCCGTCATACGTAACTTTTGCTTCTTTAGGAAAAGAAAGTCAATGTCACCATACATCACGTTAAAAATGTATCAAAATTAGAGAAATTTAACAGAACTATATTTCAAAATTGACGATGTGACGTCATGATGTAATGACGTCACAAAGGCGAATGCGCGACGTTACGCGGCAAAATCAGTAAAAAAAAAATGCTTAAATCACTTAAAAAGCATGAAATAAAAAGAAAATTTATTTGTTTTACATATAAGATTGAAATATATTTCATTCGTGAACACCAGCTATTACATTTTCACTCGTGGCTACGCCACTCGTGAAAATATTGCATCTGGTGTTCACTCAGTGAAATTATATGTCAATCTTACATGCAAAACAAACAAATATCCTCTATTTATTTAACCCGATTTGTCCAATTGGTTTTTATTATAACTGAATTGTAATCTTACAGATATATCAAGTAAATGAGTGATTCAGATTGAGACAGCGTTCGTCGTGTACATATATTTATTTTTCACATATATAAGTTTTGCCTTGCATATTCATGAGGTTTTTTGTTGTTGTTGTTGTTTTTTTTTTTTTTTTTTTTTTTTTTTTTTTTGGGGGGGGGGGGGGGGGGGTGTTGTAGTTGTTTTTATTGTTGTGTTTACTTTACTGTTCGACAATAATTTAGATGTTCGTAAAAACAGATGAAGTATATGAAGAGAATTATTTAATTATCCGAACCATTCACAGTAACTAAATAACAAAAGAGGACAGTGAACATTGCTGTATTGATGTATTTGCGGCCTCATGTTACTATTTAAAACATGTAAATTGTTGTTTGCTATTGTTTTTGCACTTATTATTTACTACTATTTTCTCATTGTTATTTGATGTCATATTGTTTATTGTCGTCAAAATATACCCATCCTGAGAGAATCATATCATATTATTTTAGTCAGAAACATCTCTTGATATGTTGTTTACAAATAGATGCATTTAGATGTCAATTAGTACCATTGATTCTGGATAATTACAGCATATTGCGTCGTTATCAGAGGTTAATGCGTTAATTCTAAGAAAATGCATGATTTTCATAAAATTATAAATTTATATGCTTTATCGCATTTGATGTAAAAATGGTAACTAACAAAACTATTCTAACAACAAACTGCATTTAGGGCATTTCGCCACAGTAATCTTGAAAACATAAATTGTGCTGTCACGCACATAAGCTGTTGACGCACATGATCTTATTTAGCCTTGTGTGGCAACATTCTAATTGGAATACCAGGATACAATTGTCCGAAAAGAACGTTAACAATTAAATGGGCATCAATGTAAATGTAATTTAAGTTCAATAAAATCCTAATAGATAATTTCGCTCTTTTACATGTTTTTCGTGGACTTAATATGTAACATTGTTGTACCGAATAGAGTCCGCAATAAATTGTTCTATGGTTAACTTGTAGCAAGAAATCGATTTCCTCATTGGCTGATGGTGACAAAAGCAGACTGACGATCTTGTATGAAAGCGCTATAAGGTTGACCTTTTGAAAAGGAAATGAGTTTCTCTAGGAGTGTTGCTTAATGAAGATTGGCTCATATAAATATATACTGGAGAATGTCTCCCTTTACAGGGAAATTGAAAGTAACTTGTATAGAATATAAAACAGTTCTTACGCTCTCAAAGTCTATCCAATTAGTTATTTTCAAACAAAGAACAAAGTCACATTCGTTAATTTGTTAATATTATACGATTTCTAATTGTTTTTAGGTGAAAATTTATTTCTTTTCCAGTGCTGACTTATTAAGTGTATTACCGTCTTAATGTGCTTTTTAAAATAAAGTATGTATTCTTGCCATGAACAACGCATAAACAGTTATAAAAATGTAAAGACGAGTATCAAAAATGTAGCTTTTGTGGACCCGTATATCTCTGACTTCAGTCCATAATGCTTTTCCTACATTAATTTATCTGATATAGTTTGATATATATGTAACAACTAACGAATCGTTTAGTTATCTAAATTAAAGGTATTGTAGAAAAAACAACCACATTTAAAAAGCATTTATATGCAGTAGTCAAATATTGTTGTTGTTTTTTCTTTCGTTCGTAATCAGCAGTTTTATACCTTGCAATGGGAGGGAAAACAAGTTATATAAATTTGATACATTTTCCAGATGTCAATTTCAATGACAGCACGTAGAAGAATCTAAATTATATATATATATAAAAGTAAAATCTCTAACTTGCCGTATATAAGCAAAAACGCTAATTTAAAATTGCCGTAGCTTTCGGCCTTGCGGCCTTCTTCAGCAGCATTTATTTCACATACCAATGAAATGTGAAATAAATGCTGCTGAAGAAGGCCGCAAAGCCGAAAGCTACGGCAAATTTAATTTAGCGTTTTTGCTTATATATATATATATATATATATATATTTATTTATTTTTATATCTGGGTAAATCATTTTAATATTGCGTCTAACAGCGTGATGCTGTTTTATTACATAAAAAAGGTATTAATATTTCTACCATCAGCGCCAATAACATGTCTGATCACATTGTGCTCAACGTGCCGTTGTCATATTAGCTACTAGAGATTCTACGCATTTGTACTTCAACGTAAACCACTGAATTACGTGATTAACATTGGTGGTTTTAATAGTTGTTATTGAAACTGAATATGTGCGTTTTGAAAAGTTTTTTTTTTATAATTTGATAGAGAAATAATTTAGCACATTTTTGTCTGTCACTTTGGTTATTAAACAAATTGCTCTTTCGAAATAAGCTGTTGGTAATTTGGCAACCATGTTAATACGTTTGTTTTCAAATATTTACAAAGATTTAAAGTAATTGTTTCAACGTAAGCGTGCTTACATGCATGTATCTTTGGTGGAAAGGTTTGTTGCAGATTTAGCTATAAGATCGATACTGATTATATAATTAAATCGGTTCTTGCGTGATTAGAAAAGAAAATGAGTTATTTAAAAATAGAAATAGATTGCATAAATTGCAACTAGGTAAAAGATGTTTTATTTGCGCTTTGAACAAACTTGTCTCTCTCTCTATATATATATATCTTGAAAACATTAAAATATAAATGTTCATGTTGTATTCAATTATATTTGTTGGTCAAGCATATAAAGGGTTAATTAAGACCAATATAACATATTGGCTAACAGATTTTAAATGTACAAAAGGTATACTCTTTTTCATTGAAATATTCAATGTTATACTAGTATTTCAATCAGTGTGTCGAAAAATTTGTTAACTAAGACGAAGTTGATTGTTTTGTCGGGTTGATTTTAACTTCCTTTACAATAATTTATATCATTATGATGTTTATGCGGAGTTGTTTTGCCTGCAGTCTAGCAACAGTGTGCCAAATAAATTCGTATTGCTGACGCCTTACGGTTTATGTGACAGCTCAGAAAATTGGTCATTATGGAACTAATCGATCTTTCTGAATGTTTCTCTCTGTCCGCTAACTTGTCATCGAGATATGTATCTATTCTTGGAAGTTTGTGATTTGCCTTGCAGGAAAAGTGTGACATTTTATAAATACGTATTGTATTCCACTGAGGGTTATAGAACAGAATGTTCACCCGAGACAGGTGATGTAAGCCGCCATCCGAGACGCTAGCCGAGGTGGACATTATCATGTCAAGGGTGAACATTCCGTTCTTGGGGTGTGATATTAATTTTATTATTCTGAAAAGCCAAGAGTTTTAAAGTGCCCCTAATATTTAAGCGAGGGAAGGTAACCGAAATGAAATAAGGGAAAATAAATAACGAAACCCAGTATAAGCGAGCATGTCGTTTTCCAATGCCAACGGGCCAAAATGTGACTAATATAATCGCTTATTGCGTCGATGTCTTGGCAAAACATAGATCTGACAACGAATATATAAACAGGTAATCTACACTTACAGTGACGCACGGTAATAGAGGTTTCCATGCATGAATACCCTTCACAAGATTCAGACCCTCGAGCGGGAAAATTACCCACCAACATCACAAAGGTTACAAAGCAAATAAATTACGTGGGGCATGATAATTTAAATTCCGATGAAAACAAGTGTTAATATCCGGGCGATTTCTCATTTTTTCTCTGGAACTTATTGGTTTTTCTTTCCTACTTACTGTTTTCTTTTGTCTCCGGCCAAATATTGTTGCTGATATATAATTAATATACGAGATAGATGAGGTTCATAAAAAGCCGTAAGAAATATTAATATTTGTAGAAACATGAGTATTTCTTTTAATGTTTGCATTAGTTATTAACCCAATTGATGAAAAATGTATGTTGTTTCTGCGACTTATGTTAACACCGCAACCTACCATACGCCTGAACTTGTCTCCTTAAATTTTGAATAAGAAATAATTGAATAAAAAATGATGATGATGATGCTGATGATGATGCTGATGCTGATGATGATTTTATCGTCGAAATTGATTTAGTGAAACGTATTGATTTTTTATCTTTCAGTATGAAAATGGTAATGAAATATCGTCATGAATTTATTTGTGATAAGTCATTGTTAATTTTGCTGACATAATTTGACATAAGTCTTACTATAAAGTAAATTATTCGTAATCTCCTATAAGTGACAACAAAGTTATGTCAGAATCTATAGCAAATTTTGAAATACAGTAGTCTTGAATTTACTCGTATGACCTGATAGTGGAACAAATACTCAAATGAAATCTATTTATTTGACACCTCATATTGAAAAATACCTAGAAATGTCTTTTTTATGGTCTAAACATTGCCATTCTGTCAAGTTTGTCGACGACGTCATATTTCAGAATGTGGTTAGAGAGCATAGAAGATATTTCTTCTGCAATTAGCAATATCAATGGCGTTACTATATTTAGTTTTAATTAGCACATGGTTTTTTTTTGTTTTAAACTACCTATAGGGACTCTATACATGTATACTTAACTTCACTAATATAATAGCTTATTGCGTCGGTGTCTTGGCATAACATAGATCTGACAACGTATATATAAACAAGTAATCTACACTTACAGTGACGCACGGTGATAAAGGTTTCCATGTGTGAATACCCTTCACAAGATTCAGACCCTCGAGCGGGAAATGCACCTGGCCGATGTTACAGTGTCGTGAAAATTTATCAAAGTCTTTCACCAAAATCTCCAGCGTCCTCTCCCCGGTCTCCTTAAACGGGATTTCAAACATGAAATATTCATTCCAAGTCGGTTCCTGAGTCTTCCGCTGTACAGAGGTTTGGTGAGAGTTTTTAGAGTCAGGGATTAGTGACACACGACAATATGGATTAGAATGTGCCATATCTTGTTTATTTTCGTCCAGGCAGTATGGAGGGGGCAATTCTTTCGCTTCAATGATTTTCACAACCAAAATGTTTGTTGATACTTCATACTGTAGTCCAAAATGAATTTGTCCGAGTTGATATTTAGATAGTTTTTCCTCGTCTGTGAGGCAAGTCTCTCTGTTTATTTTTTCAGACTCGTACAAATCTTTCTGAAAATTTTCAATTGTTATTTCGGTTTCGCTCGGCAACCGGCGACGCCCTTGTTTTGGTTGAATTGCTTCTTTATTCGCAGCCCAAAACTCAATCGGTTTCATATCAATTATCGGGGTCGTCGTCGGTTTACGGTATTCAAAAGAAAACTGACTCGCTGATGTGGCTGATGATACGGAATCTGTACGGGAGACACTATCCGACTCGGAACGCTCACGTACGCTTTTCGGCGTTGTTGATTCATTAGTAGAACTTGTTGAATCAAGCCGAGAAATAGAATCACGGAAAGAATGTTGAATATCGGACTTTGTTATTTTCTTCACGGGCGGGTGAGTTTCTTCATGGCAGCAGTCACAACAACTGTAGTCACAGCATGCCAATGACCAGACATTCTCCAAAATTTTCTTAGCTGTATTCTGAAGAGAGAAAATTGAACGAAAATACTTAATCATCGTTACATATTTAAATATTTCAAGACGCTCACAATTTCAAATATTAATGTATAAAAACATTGTTTTTTATGATCCATTTTGTACATTTCTAAATAAATTTTAATTCGAAGCATTGTTTTCTTCTTCTTCGTTCTTTGTTTGTTTGTCTATTTGTTTGTTTGTTTTTGTAGACTTGACAGAAACTCTGTTTACGTGCATATTGTCCGCTCCATGTAATTATACATATTGTATTGAAAGTGCATTTTTCGATATTTTATGTATGTAAGTTAAAAATTAAAATTCGATTTCTAATGAGTATTTTTTCCATGATTCCCGTAGTCTATTACGTCTAATTCATATTAATACAGTTTTTTACTGCAAACTATTCAAATAATGAAAAAGTCGCTTAAAACGATACTTAAATCGTTCCAGTGAAAAGGTAATGGATTTTCATGAAAACTGTCATTGAGTTGCCGTGGAAACTATAGGTACTAATCATTCCATACATCTAATATTACTGGCAACAAATTGTATACGCGACCAGACTTTGACCCCTGAATCTACGATATTTAGCAGCCAATAGCAATTAACTAAACGTACACACATATTACACACCTTTATCATGAATGAATGGTATTGATATCATGGTTAATGCTTTGAAATATTATTATTTAATTCACCCAATAAAAAAGGTGAGACTGGAACAAATCACGACACTCCTACATATGACTATAAATATATATCATACTAACTTCAATTAGCAATCCATTGTCAAAGACTTTTTGAAAAAATAATTATAACCTATACAGAGATGTTAGGAGGGATGTGCTAATTATCCTCAAATAATTGTACAGTCACATGCGACAGAGCCATTGCTCACCTGTTGTGTTCATAATTAATGTTCTGCTGAAATTTCATTACTTGACTCTGTATGAATGTGATTTCTAAAACAATTTCATTCATAAAAAGAATTGTGGACATATAATATTCCACATGCTGGCGTGGCCATTAATTAACAATTCAACACTAGTTAGACAGCTGACAATTCAACACCAACAAGACAGTTATTGTAGAGAGTTGTGACCTGATTATTAATGTATCAGCCTCCTATCTGAGGGATCATGGTTTGAGGCCATACCAAGATTATGACAATAGCACGATCCCTTACAGCACAACAGTACTGATTATCTAAAGAAGGGAACTCTAGTGTTGATTCAAATATTTAAAAAAACCACATAGAATGTTAGTACAATAAATATGTTTTTAATATAATATACAGCTGGCCGCATATTCTTTTTTTTAATGGAAATTCAACGTTTTATGATAAGTGGAAATAAGAAGATTCAATTTTATATATACATTATAATAAGCGCTTGTAATGGTGTGCCTGTGAAGGAACATAAATTTTGTAGCCGATCTGTATTGTCTAATTTTCTCTGAAGCTATACACAAATCATTTAACATAAAAGTGCTGTATATTTAAAAAGAAATGTATATCTTTGTCAATGTCATGCCTTACAGAGTACAAATATGCGTATGATTACATCATTAACGGGGATATGACTCCATTATGCAAATAAAAAGTAGTCCACGCAATAAAAAAGCAAGAAGCGCCTTTCCAAAGAATCTAAAGGTCGTTATGTTTCCGAGAAACGCGTATCTTATGGATTCCTATCGCTCTCCTAGTTGTTATTGTTTGATTTGATTTTATTGAACAAAGATCCATAACGAGGTATTGCCGTGACCTTCAGTTTACTGTAGGTTTCCGGATTTTCACAGAACGGCTCGGATAACCAACAGATTTGTTGTTCTGGGACGGATCGATACAGTTGTTATTCATTGTCACATCGTACTATCGATTTAGTTCCGATAATAAAGTGAAATATCAAAACAGCGACTCTCAGAGATATTGACATTGATTTTAAAGTAAGAAATCTCATACAACAATATGTTGCTGGGCAAACCTATATTTCAAATTAAGTAATAAGCCTTTGAATTAATTGAAATTGAATGCCATATGGTGATATTTCAGCGTTTTATTCCTATCAGCTAAAAAGCAATATGGTTGACAAGTGCGGGGTGCCGTAAATTATTTGAGACAGAATTCAGCACAGCGCCATTCATTTTAAAACATTGCATATGATAAAACATGTTCTAGTTTGAGATAAATGAATGAATTACATTTTAACAGTCATCTATAATGTCTTATTTGATGTAATAAAAGCGCTGTTAATTAATCCAATATATCAGCAAAAGTTTCATCACATTTCGCTTAGCATGCAGCCATCAAATCGATATAGATTTACATGACAAAAAAAAATGTTTTTAACTCTTTAATATCAATGTATTGCTTATATTAAACTGAATTTAATATATGATTTAAAATAATTAAAATAAAGGTGGTTTTAATGCAAGCGCACTGCGTACTTGCTGATCAACAGTTGCATAAATTTTGTTTCACCACAACTATAGCATTCAGTCACATTTGACTATTTATCTATACACGTACACATATTTACTACCTTTATCTTTTACTTATCATGTTAATATAAAGTTATCTTATTTAATTCAATTTCTAAATTACATAAACTTGTTGCCCAGTGTATTTTTTTTTTATTAAATATTTTTTTAAATATACGCATCTTATTATAAATAAGAATAATTTCAACAACTGTATAGCGTATATAAAAATTAATAATTATGTAATTAAGAGAACAGACAAATAATGGAGAGCAATTTAAAATTCTTACCGTCAGTAACATCTTGTAAATGTCCACTAGAGACGTCGCTGATTGCTGATAGAATATGTTGTGCTCGGTATTGATTTTAGCCTATACCGAACACTTTTGAGATTCTCTACGGTATGGTAGAGAGAATTAAACTTTGTATCGATAACGTATGGCGGACACTCCAGAATCTTTCTGCGATATGAAACATTATTAAAATGAACATATAATATATATAGAATACATTAACCAATGATTGTTGGCAACAGATTTCTCCCAGGTATTCTTGTTAAACCTGGTATTCTGACAGATGACGTTTTAATTGCCTTGTGTCAAAGTTTAACCGCAATTACCAATGTGTTTGCCCTCAAATTCTCGCGGTAATCTGACGACAATATATATTATGCTTTTATGTAGAAATAATAATTTCCGACTTTATTACTAATTGCCTACCAATTCAACGAATAAGGGAGAATCTAATAATTGTTATGTGCAGGAAGTAAAAGTTAACTTAAAGCTTCGTTTTGCGCGCAAGTTCAAAAGGTTAAGGGTGAAGGTCGTGTTGAATTGACAAAACAAATATCAAATAGATTAACGTTACCGTAGTTTTCAAGGCACTGCAAAGGCTAACTCAATTTTTCTACAATCACCATCAAATATAAATTAATGCATTTGTTCAGATTTCTACAAGAATTTCAGTATAATCACATTGTGTGCGTGTGTGCGAAGGAGTCAGTTTTAAGTCGAGAGAACAGCCCTTGCCATTGGGCCAATGGTTTGTTTCGTGGTATCATGTACAGTACATACAATCGTGATTATAGCGTACAGTAGTCTTACTTTTAAGATAGATTCTAACCAATGTGCAAAGAAGACCCTCCAAACTTATACAAAAACGAATCTACAAAGGAATCAGACAAATAGTGTTTTCACGGTTGGCTCGAGAAAAATGTGTCTTTTTCGAAAATTTATACTCTTTATATGCACAAAGAATAAATCGCCGGTACAAAAAAAGGCCATGACACGCGAAAATCTCGCGGACATATTGCTAGGGTAAAGGCTTTAGGTCTTATATTGTGAAAAGAAGACCCTTCAAACTTATACAAAAACGTATCTGCAAAGAAATCAGGCAAAAGTGTTTTCACGATTGGTCCGAGAAAATGGTGTATTTTGCGAAAATTGATACATATTATTTTTATACAGAAAGAACAAATCGCCGATTTAATACCCCGATGTAGAATCGTGGTATAAATGTCTCACACGAATCTATATCTGAAATTAAATTTTACTTAAATTTAATAACTAAACTTCAATTAAATCATTAACTTTTTATTTACAGTGCAATTTGGTAAAATGCCCATATTATGAGGTTAATTATATACATTGTTGAGTACAATTCTGAAATGTATTTGTACGAGTACAAAGCTGTCAAACCTTTATTGGACGAGACGCTAGCCGAGTCTTGTGTTTTGCAGCTGAGTAAAATCTGTATTGTTTCCATCTCAATGTACAATGGCCTCTTTATTTCACTTTTTTTTTATTTTTAAAAGATCTTTGTGACTTCAAGTACAACAAGAGCTGTCGGTAGGACAGCAACGCTCGACTATTCTTAGTGCTTGATAGTAAAAAAATGCCTGATACAGTTACCTCCTCCTGTTTACAGGTTGGGGTCATGATGGTGAACAAGTGTGCAATGTTTCAAAGCCATATGTCAATGGACTTTGAAAATATTTGAACTATTACAAAAACTTTAACGTAAACTCTAAGTCGAAAAAGGAGCATAATTCTGTCAAAATGCTTGATAGAGTTACCTCCTCCTGTCTACAGGTTGGGATCATGATGGTGAACAAGTGTGCAAAGTTTCAAAGCCATATGTCAATGGACTTTGAAAATATTTGAACTATTACAAAAACTTTAACGTAAATTCTAAGTCGAAAAAGGGGCATAATTCTGTCAAAATGCTTGATAGAGTTACCTCCTCCTGTCTACAGGTTGGGGTCATGATGGTGAACAAGTGTGCAAAGTTTCAAAGCCATATGTCAATGGACTTTGAAAATATTTGAACTATTACAAAAACTTTAACATAAGTGGTTACGCCGACGCCGACGCCGACGCCGACGCGGACGCCGACGCTCGGGTGACTGCAATAGCTCTACTTATTCTTATCGAATAGTCGAGCTTAAAAGTAATTGATATGATTTTTTTCATCCTGACAATGAAAATGAGACTTGATGGAGTACAATATGCCATTGATATTGATATTTTAGACTCTGAAATCAAAAGCGAATCTATGTGGCATTTTGTAGGGTACGATATGCATTCGATAGAGATTTTGAACTCTTCAAATGGAAACGAGGCAAAAATATTGGATCCAATAATGATTATTTTGGAACATAACGTGGTAGTCCGATTTTTTGAAGCGGTTACTTCCCTTTATATGTAAACTAACGCCGTAAAGATCAGGGGAGATCACTGCGTAAAGATGGTCATACGACAGGCGCATTAATTTTCAAGAAAATTTGTTCCCGAATGTTCGGAGATTTCTAATATTGTTTTTTTTTTCTTTATAGATATACATGCATATAGTAAGCTCCATGATTATTTACATCTGTGTTAAACAACAGTTAGCGTCGAAATAATAAGCCAGGGTAACAAACACTAATTTAGAATAATATGGTTTTCTTCAGGCCGTTAACATTTAACTTCGGTTTGTGCGCTCGGTAAGGAAGCGAGAGGTCTGGAGTTCAAATCCCAGTTAAGGCAAAAAAATTTCAAATTGGTTAAGTCAAATAAACATTTAATTGAATACTAATAGCAGTGATGCAATTAGTCTTATAGCCATTTTCCTACAATTAAATCGCTGGAAAGTATTGCTGGCACTATACAAAAACAAATTGGTTTATAATCTCACAACCTTCACCTTTCTGACATTCTGAGACCCAAACAAATTCAGCGCCTTCTGTGCTTTGATTTTTCTACGTTTTCGATCGGAACATGTGCTGTAAAAGAAACTACGTCTTCTCTGTGAGACTCCCATCTCATGTTTCAAGTTTTGCCTTTGTGAAAGAACTTGTTATTATATTGTGTTTCCTCCTTGTAATTCTATACTTAACGAATAAAGATAATAATTGAAATCTTCATGAAATTCTAAACAAGTAACATGTATTTCATCAGACAAAAGGCTAATTATTAATATTTAAAAAGTTGATTTGATTGATTGATCGATGTTTGATTGATTTTGTTTTATTTATTTTATTTTATTTATTTATTTACTTACTTTTTAACTTCGACTGTGCAGACTTTTATCTTATAGATAAGGAAATGAATTACTTAGTAACATACTAGAATTCTGCATAGTTTTCAGGGGAAAAAAATCATAATTCTAAATGATATGAACATCCAGCTTTTATTGAGTAATTATCTTTATTTATTTCACATTTATGTGATAATTATCTATCTGTTGCCACTGGTCAATAATAGCAGGAAGGTAACTGGTTGCATTTTGCCGTAAAGGAAATGTTATATATTCTTGTTGGGTAATTTCTGTCAAAACAGAAGCAACCGATAATTCTGCTGCCTTAAAGATTAAAAACAAAATATAGCAAATAAACAGTCAATCAAATTAAATTAATATCACATTTTTTTTTTGCTCGATTTATTGCAAATGTAATAAATTATGGTACATGTACAATAAATAGAAAAACTCTGTTAAAACATTTGTCTAATATTAAAAGGTTTGCCGTGTGCCAAATTGATGACAGAAACATTTTTTTTCGAGACAACGGTTGGTCAGCTCATAAAAAGTTCCTGAATCATATTTTGCCTGCTTCCTTTTAATATTATATGGCACTGGTAGTTTGGCAAATGTCTAAGGTTTGCTCAATATCAAGACAATAAAGTTATAAAATTTAATGAGTTATTGTATTCATTAATATCGACGAAACACAAATATCACTTCAAAACGGACGTCAGGTCGTCTTTCTCATGAACGTAACAGAAAGTAAACACATTCATGGAAATATTTGTAATGCTGGTTGAAATATGTCATAACAGCCATATGCGCATATTTCCTTCTTTAATTAAATATGATTTATTACAAAATATATCGGTCAGTTCACTTATCGTGTTACTCGTTCAGACCATAGTTTTGCACAAATTCGGCGAAACGTTTGCACGATTCCTGCGTTATTTGTACATGTCTGCGTTACTGGATATACAAGGAGCTGTATGAGGTTTATGGAAAACATAGGACATTATAAAAAGAGGTTAAGATACTTCATGAAATAATATAAGGGTAATTCCTCGTAAGCAACCAAAACAATAAAATTACATGAATATTGAAAACCCGATTTGAGTCTGTTTATGAGGGATAACGGAAAAGTGCATCATCTCTCACGCTTCATCGGTTTTTAATTATCATCAGCAATTACTGTGCTAAAGTCAATGATCCTGAATGACCAGAAAGATATACATTTGTAACAATTAGGCCGAATCCCATGCAAGCTCTATAAGTTTACTTACATTACCTACTTACATACATTGTTAAAATGTTTTCAAACTTACAACATTAAATAGTCACGTACAATTCTACAGTTATTTATCTTATCATATACATAATCTTTGATTAAAATGTTTCCTCTTATAACAGAAATAATGTATATTATAATGGGTTTTTGTTATAAAAGAGTAGTGAAAGTTTCTGATTTCTTTCAATTTGCTAAAAGCATCGTCTCAAGTTATTTGGAAGATTTAGGATATGGTTTCTCTGTAGGAATATTGCGATGTTTAAAGAAAAAAATCTGGATTACGTGTGATCCCTCGGAAGCATAAATCACAAAGAATTACATGGAAATTGCAAATACCGTTTGATTGAGTCTACAGGTACATGAGGGATAGTGAAAAGTGCAACATCCCTCACGCCCCCTAGCACCGGCTTAAGAAGTACTCAATTTGAATCACTTAAAACTGTTGGAATCGAAGGACCTGAAAAATATATAACTGAAATGAAGAACGGGGGCAACTTTTTACAGCTGCCACAAAGCACTTGACACCTGCTGTTGTGAGGTGTGTAACCTCTTTGAAGCATTAATCACAACAAAAATACATGGAAATTGCAGACTAGGTTTGATTGAGTCTGTACATGAGGGATAATGAAAAAGTGCAACACCCCTTACGCCACCTAGCACCGGCCTAATGCAATAATGTTTTGATAATGGAAAACTAA